CCGCCGCCGCCGCCCGGGCTGTTCCTGTAAGGCGGGGAGACAATGAGTAAACTCTCCTTCCGAGCGCGGGCGCTGGACGCCGCCAAACCGCTGCCCATCTACCGCGGCAAGGACATGCCTGATCTCAACGACTGCGTCTCCATCAACCGGGCCGTGCCCCAGATGCCCACCGGGATGGAGAAGGAGGAGGAATCGGTAGGGACTCGAGTGTTTATTACCCCCCTTCCCTCCTCCCCCCTCCCCTTTGTCAGTCGAGCCTCGCCATTCACAGAGCGCTTTACGCTCGCTGGAGGGCGCCGCTGCTGCTCCAACGCATGGGACCCTACGCTGGCGGAGTAGCGTAAACCCTCTCGGCCGGCGCAGCGCCCGCCCGCGGCCGCCATGTTGTTGCGTCCCAGTGTTGTGATTAGCTCTCAGCGCCGCTTCGGCTGCCGTAAGGGGGCCTTGCCGTAAGCGGCGGCCGAGAATGGCGCAGGGGACGCGCTGGCCGCACTTAGCGTACGGCCTCTATTTACCTTAAATTTTTTTTTTCCCACCAGCGCGGGGTTAATTAATGACATGGGATCTTTTAGCTTGGAAAGATTTTTCCTTTCACTTTTAAATTCGGCTTTGCTTTGGATTCCATTTCAAATGACTTAGGGAAAGTAAAGCGCTTTCAAAACAAACATCATCCTTCCAGCCAGGAAAGGATCTTCGCTCCCCTGCCGGAGGTGGTGCAGCGGGAGGAGGTTGTGCAGCACTGCGGCGGGGGCCACGACTGCGGAGCGAGACGTAGCTTCAGAGCGTGAGGCTGGCAGGCGCGCTCTGCCCCGCCGAGACTGCTCTGCTCTGGCGCCGCGGTTGCAGGGAACCGGCTGCTGGGGAAGCAGTCGCCCGGCCCTGCGCTTCCGCGCGCCGCTTCCCCGGGAATTGGCTTTGAAGTGATGCTGTTGAAATTCAGGATCTACTGCATCCAGATTGACACTTGTATTTTTGATAATTAGGTGCCTTTGGCAAAACTGCTTCTCCCCCACCCCGTCGGTTAAATTTTTGCATAAGGTTGAATTTCATCTAATTTGATAGCGTTTATGACTGAAGCGGTGCTGCTTTTGTGCGAAGTTCATAGTAACTGCACCCTCAAGAATTTCTTCAATGAACCTACAGTCCCGCCTTATTGTCAACCTCGGGCGTGTGTGGATTGGTTGTGTGACCGTCAAAAGAAAGCCCGAGGTTTCCGTGATTGGTTTTCTCTTTTGACTATTAATATTGCAGGAAATGCATTTAAGCATTTGATTGGCTGCTCGAGTTCTGATCTCACCATGTTACCCTGTTATTACTACTTTCCCCTGTGATTTAATCACTTTTCTTTTTGGTGTTTGATTACTTGAAAGGCTTAACATTTCCCGAAGATGAACATAGACATGGCATCAGCATAAACATTTTTTTTTTAAGTAAAATCAAACCCCACGACTTATGCCTAAGGTTTAGAGCCGAGCCTTAGTGGAGAATTCTTTTTGTTTTTGTCTTATAAAAGTAACAACTCGGTTTTCTATGAAGATAGTTTTAATGGTATTACAAGAATTAGTTGAATCAAACTATGTAAAAGGCAGTTTTGGATATTCTTATCTTACAGGTTTTGGACCCCCCAAAACATCTTATGAGCCTTAAAAATACCAGTATTTTATGTAACCAATTGGTTATATTAGAACATAAGTCAAGAAATCTGTTCTAAAATGAGCAGTTAAAACCCTTGGAAGATAAATTACATTTATTTTGCAATCAGCTATACAATTTACAACGTGTCGAGGTATTGTATCTTAATTTAGGAAAATTTACAAATTTTTTAAATGTTCTGTTAAATATAAGTGCTTGACACCTGTCAGTTTTGTACTGTTCACTTTCTCATAAAATTTGTAATTTTCAGTCTAGAGCGTGAATGCTAAACTTAGATTCTGTTCAGTAGCCTGTTTCACCTGCTCAGTTTTAAGGAAGAAAAAAAGTTCAAATTCTGATTGAATTAGAGTTGTAATGTGGGACCGCTTAAGTTCTTTAGATCAAAGCAAAACAAATTGTAATAGTTAATGATTTATTGTGTAAAGTCTTTTAGCTTTCCAGAGTGCACCGTGGGATGGGGTGTTAGTTTACCTTTTTCTTTCCTTCTTTCCTTCCTCCTCCCCCTTTTTAATCTTAATAACATGTTTTATTTATATTCTGTTATTAAGCATAATGATGTATTAAAAATGGTGTATTCTGCAGAGATAAACAGTTCTAAATAGATATATCTACTGATGTTTTTTAATTTCACTTGAACTGTATTTTAGTTCAACTTCAACTAAATGTATTAGTTATTTTCATAATTATTTTTAAATTATGTAGTCTTGTTTAGAAACTCGGGTTAAGGATTTGTCAAGTATTGACTGGTGTTTCTAAACTGTCTTTTCCTGTTTGGTTAGCAAGATCCATGACTTCATTTTGAAAACTTCAAGGATAACCCCCCTTTTTTTAACACCCTCATTAATTAAAATCAGTATCCCCTGTGTAACTATTGAGCTATCATTAGGTTTTGTTTTTAGAGTCATGGACTCATTTTTTAGTTACTTTCTGACAAGGCCTTGATAAGGTAATATAAGGTGTTCTTTGGTTTTGGTAGTCTTATTGACCATATCATTCTTTTGGCTTTTCTGTTGGACATGCAGATATCTTTAATTTCTTCTTCTGCCATATTTTCAGTCTTTTGCTTAAGATCTGCCAGTTGGCATCCCCTGCTAAAGGGTCTCTGTAGTGTTCACATGGCTCTTGGTTTAGGTTTGATACTGTAAACTTATGTTTATTTAAAATGGAAGAGAGAAAGTCAGATAATCAGTGATTCTTTCACCTCCTCATGAGTGCTATATAGTGGTATTTTTTTTTAATGATTACCGTTTATTGAATAATTTTTGTGCTTCAAGTACTGTGCTAAGATTTTGTCTATTTTTAATCCCTTTTAAATCAAGTTTTTTGAGGAGTAATTTTACGTACAATAAAATATACCTTTACAACAGGATTTGATGAGTTTTGACAAGTGAAAAATAAGATGGAACATTTCCAGTATTGGTTAAACAACCAAAAACTGGAAACAACTCTAAAATTCAACAATAGAATGATACAAAACATTTATCAATTCACTGGAATACCATTCCTCAATAAAGAGGAAAAGAATGATATGTGTAGTAATGAATCTAAATGCTGAGCAAAAGAAGCCAGATACAAACAAGTATGTGTGCTTCCAGTTTTATGAAATTCAAGAGGTAAACTAATGTACACTGAAACAAACAAACCAGTGGTTACTCGAAAATAGGGAAGGAGAGGGATTAACTACAAAGAAGCACAAGAAAACTTTTTGGCTAGTAATGACTCTAAGAAGTTCTACAATTTTTTTGTTTTGTTTTGTTTTTTTGAGCCAGGGTCTCACTGTATAGTGGAGACTGACCTGGAACTCACTGTGTAGCCCATGCTGGTTTCAAATTCACAGTGATCCTCCTGCCTCAGCCTTCCAAGTGCTGGGATTACAGGCGTTCGCCACCATGCCCAGCAAATAAGTTCTACAGTTTTTGTTTTGGTTTGGTTTGGTTTGGTTTGGGTTTTTTTGAGACAAGGTGTTGGTTTGTATCTCATGCTAGCCTCAAACCTGTGGTGATCCCCCTGCCTTTCAGCCTTTGAGTGCTGGGATTACATGCATGTGCCACCATGCCCAGCTACAGTTTTCTTTGTTATAGATGAAGAAATTGAAGGGTCTTAGTGCTAATAATAGGCAAGGCTAGAATTCAAATTCTAGTCTGTAATGTTACAAAAGCCTTTTTACATAGTCACCATTCTTACAGAAGTCTTACAGAATCCAGAATTATCATCTGAACTATTACTAAAATAATACTTTTTTCTAATTTTGAGAACTGTAAAAGCTGAAATCAGTTTGATTACACCGTTAAGAAATGTAGGGCTGGGAGTGGGAGTGTAGTTCAGTGGCATGGCACCTGCCTGGCAAGCACAAGACCCTGAGTTTGATTCCCACTACCAAAAAAAGAAAAAAATATAGCTTTTTCATCACTTGACTCTAACTTTGCTCTGGTTTGAACTGATATTTCTGCTTTCATATGTTTTTTTCTTCTTTGGAGGCTTCTTTTGGGCTTGGGGTTCAGACTCTGGGTCTGGCATGTTTATGCATGCTAGATACGTGCTTTTCCACTGAGATCTTCTTGACTTTATTCTCTGCGTTTCAGATTTTCTATCATTTTTCCTGGCAGTTCATTAATTTTACTTCTCCCTGTATTAGCAACATTACATTTATCTAAGTATTTTAAGTTATCTTCAGATAGGAAATGTGTGGGAAAGGATCCTATTACTCTTTAGATTTTATCTTATTAGAATATAATCTGCAAAGGGCCACAACTTTACTTGTTCTCCATTAATAATATAATTTAAGAGCCTGGAAATGTACTTGGCACATCATATATATTATATATGTGCTTAGTAGGTATTTGGTAAGGGTTGAATGAGCTTCTTTTTCTAAATCAAGAGCTTTTTTCTTATGTGACTGACTACCTGTGGTCACACACTTTATCTCTGTTACATCTCTGTGTGCGTACATGCATGAGTATGTAGTTCATAACCATAGTTTGGTAACTTCTTCCAGGAATTCTCTTGATGCCATATATATGTAACTATTAAATCTTTTGTTTCCTCCAAGTCAGAGCCGTCTTTAAATATTGAACTCTTTTTTTACACATAGATACGACTGCGATATTAAGTCTTTATCTTATATTAACTCATAGCTATATGTAGGTTTGTATATTCATACCAGCAAGACTCAATTTACATGAGCCATGTGATTCAGTTTATTTTAAAGAAAAAGATCATGACTGATTTTTTAAAAAAATTTTACTTTGACCTTTGTTTTTTGATACTGGGGATTGAACTCGGGACCTTGTGCTTGCAAGACAGGCGGCAGAACCACGGAGCTAAATTCCCAGCCTTATGACTGATTTGAATTGTCATTTCTTCCCTTAAATGTTGCTTAATTTTTGCATTATCTTAATATTTTAAGTAATATTTGACTGATAAAGTCGGAATATATTCAGTCTTAATGTCTCTTTAAAGTTACTTTTGGGGCCGGGGATTTAGTTTAGTGGCTCTGCCACCTGCCTCACAAGGACCTGAGTTCAATTCCTGGTACCCTCCCC